ATTGTTGTTGATCCCTTCCCTATCCCTGCCAATAATCTCCCAATTCGTCTCTTTCCACATAAAGCTTGAAAAAGATATTCAATTTGGCTTGATAGACGCAACAATAAGTACAGTCTATCTCAACTATTCCTCTACCTGTATTTGTTATTTTACTATGTATCGTGCTTTAAAATAAGGTGTTCTTGAAGACCGGATTTAAAAACGTGATTGGAAGAAAAATTGTACACATTTTTATTATGGCTTGTATTGTATTTTATCTCATGTTGAATTATTACTTTTATACTTGATTTCTTTTGTTTAAAATAAAGTGAAGCAAATATATATCCAATTCAAAAGAGTTCGATTAGTTTGAGAGTTTTTGTAACTAGTGTCCCACATTTACTTCAATTTGCTTATCAAAAAAAAAAATACCCCCAACCTAATTTGACGTGCTTAATCTCTTAATTATTAGTGTTTAGGGTGTAAGCACATGAAGTTAGTATTTAATGAAGAATGAGGTTAATTAGAATGCTAGATAGGGTGAGGACAAGATGGTCTTTTTCTCACCAATTTTTCCTAAACTCATTTGAAGACTCGCACTCTCTTTTCTCCATCCCTTCCCTTTTTTCTTAAAATCAGAACTTAGGAGAAGAAAAAATAAGACGAAAATGTGGGAAAGAAGAGAAGAAAAGAAATGAGCATCGTTGTACTTGAACCAGTCCTTTGATGCATGCTTAGCTCCTTGTAGAATCATGAAGGAGAGTCTCAAATTCAAGTTTTTGAATCATCAATCTCGATCTTCTTCGAGGCTCAGTCCAAGTTTATGATTAAGGGGGGTTCTTAGGTAGATTAGTTAGAATTTCTTTAGAGAAAAGGGACTTTACATGAGAGATTTTGGGTTTGTGTGTTGGTTGTGATCTTGCATGCTAATTGTTGGTTAATTGTATGACTTTTCATGTTGTCTGTGTATCTATGTGTTGTTAACCACTTTTGTGTGTTGTTGAATGTGTGAATTCTAGGATTCTAGGCTTAAAAACATGTTTTGTTCTACTATGCTCGCTGAGCATGATCTTCGCTGGGCGAGCCTTCATGCGTGGAGAAACTCAGTTTCTAGGTCTTCTCGCTAAGCGGGATAATGGTCTTGCTAAGCGAGGCTCTATGCAGAGAAGAACTGAATTTTAGACTTTCTTGCTAAGCAAGATAACAGGCCTCTGAATGAGATCTCGCTTGGAGCTCACCACCCCATCGCTAGGTGAGAATGAAGTTTTTCAGCCAAGTTTGCTTTCTTCCAGAGCTCGCTAGGCAGGTCAACTAGTGTAGAATTTTATGCAGTATTGACCATAGCATATCTTTCACTTCGTGTCTCGAAATAAGACGCAGTCAAGTGTGTTAGAAAGCTCATTAAGTGAATTATTCCATGGTGGAGTACTCATATTCCATCGGCGTATGTTTATTCATGATGACTGACCAATACACATGGTGTTCCGACGTCACGGAGACTGGATCCGTGTGACTTTTCTCTAATGATTGGTATCATGATGCTAAATAAGTATTCATGGATAATATAATTTTTCCCTAAGCTTCATAGGTAACGGAGTTTTCAGCTGCTTCGAAGGTACGCCTAGGCTATATAAGTGGAAAATCGGGGACTCGTGTTTATAGCTTCGACTATTATGACGATTTACTTACTTAGCTTCACAAGTATGATAGTTTCAACTGCTTCTAGGATACGTCTCGGCTAAGATAGTAGTAAATTCTAATTTCATGTTCAGACTAATGACTAACTTTGTACCAATCATTCGAGAATCGTGTATGTTAAAAGATTTAGAGTAAGGAACCTTGGGCTTGCAAGCGGATGTTTCTGCTAGATCCATACTGATTTGATAAGACCCTTTTGACCTAGGTGACTCTTAGGATAGGAGAACCCCATTGAGATTGTTGTATCTCACCTCATCTTATTATCATGATTACAAGTACTAAGTCAGGTGCTAAAGGTAAGAACAAGGTGACTTGAAGATGTTACGATGAAGATCATGCTTTAGCATAGTGTTATCTTCTGTGTAACCTTTTATCATGTTATGTTTTCAGTTTCTATTACATTTTATACTATTTTGGGCATTTCCTTGTAGGGATGTGTTACACCCCAAAATTTATCCTCCTAATTTATTGTTATCTGGCTTAGGCTTACCATTGCATTCGCATCTTTTCATTAGGTCATGCATTTCATTGAATAAAGGTACCATGGGTTCAAAAGATCGGGAACTATGCAAGTTAGGGTTTCCGTTGGTTTTGAGATGTATATATCAAATAAGTTTGACTTTGTCTGGACTGTGGAATTAGGGTTTTGGCTCAGAGTTATTGTGGACTTCTTTCTTCATCCAAAGCATGGGACATTAGGGTTTTCATTCGTGGTGCTTAGTGTTTCATCAAGATTTCAATTGAGGACCTCGTGAAGTAGGGTTGGCTCCATGGCTATCTTGAGTCTCTCTCCTTCAATATTTCAAATGTGGTTTTCATTTGAGACTTTCTTCCAATTTCATGATATCCTCGAGTGGTTTTCTCAAGAATGTGCATTTGGAATTTCTGTATGGATTGTGAATCAAGATATTTTCTTCTATGTGTGAGATCATTAATTTGTGAAAGGAAGAGTTAGGACTTTTACCGGTTCTTCTCCATCAAAGAAGATTCATGATTGTTCGAATCCTAAGGCATTCATCATCTTATTATACTTATCATCTTCACAGGAGTTGAGGTTTATTTCCTTAATCTTGTGATATTCAAGAGGATTTCAATCATTGCTTTAAGTACAAGTTATTGAGGAGATCTTGGAATATTTATGGCTTGATGCAAGAGAAGAGACAAGCAAGTCTACCTCGCCAATTAGAGTTTATAGACGTTTAGTGCAAGGCATTCTATCTAGGCAATTGGTCTATTTGTGGTATAAGCTATATCTTTTATGGACTTCATTCAATTATCTCAAGTTAAAGCCCAATGTTTTATTGATAAAGATGCTAAGGTACAAGGCATTTCATTCAAGTCGTCTAAAGGCATCCCAAAGTTTTATGGATAAAGATGCTAAGGTACAAGGCATTTCATTCAAGTCGTCTAAAGGCATTTAAACATAGTGATTGATTCAATTTGATATCACTCAGTCATTCAAGTTGCAAATGGTAAAGAAAAGATGTGTATACCATGGGTGCCATAAATACAAAAGCAAAGGTCATTACAAAGGATTTGGAGGCATAAGGGCCAATTTGAAGGGAAAAAAGAATTATATTGAATACTTTGAGTTCATACTGGGATTCAAGAAGTACACGAGGTTATGTTTCTTTTACAAGATCATTACAAGTTCAAGTTCTTCATTAATCCCAAAATTTTATTACAAAAAGTACACATCAAAATTCACATGGAAAATTAAGCCTAATCCTAATGCATTCGTTATTGTCTCCATTGCAAACTTCAAATCCTCTTCCACCTTCAGTCGGCCTCGGTTTCCACCTGTACAACCTTCACCATTTCTGCATCAAAATCAATAAAATTCAAAAGACCACATGCTTATGCAAAAAAGAAAATAGAGCCATTCCAAGTCATGTTCAACATTACAGGTTCATACAATCCAACACAATTATGTGCCGAAACCATGGCCACATTACCAAACACATTAACCAATCCATACCTAACTCACTTAACGGCAATTGTTCCAAAAACCTTTTTTTTTGCTTGACCAATATCCAATATAACCAAGAGACCCAAACCTGCTGCTGAAACATGGCAGACCCGCAGCCGTATGCATCACCATCATCATCAAGTGGTTCACATGATTAACATTCCAATGGATCTGCACAAGACAGTTCAATTACAACCCGATCAAAGAATAAAATAGTACAAAATTATGTTTCAAATATACACCACAGTTTTTCAGAAAAGTTCATGCCACAACTTAATTCAGGGCCATTTCATGTGTTAAGGTTATGCATCCAGTACAGTTCATCATTTACATAAAAAAAGGGTCCAAAATAAAACCAATTCCAACCATTAAATTCAATAAATAAAAACATATCCAAAACAAAACAAAAATCAAACTGCAATCATCCATATCAATCTAGTTCAGTTTTAGAACAAAACGGTTCTCTAAAACAAAATCACCAAGAGACTAACTCATCTCCAAACCTAGAGTTCCAAACTTGCACTAACTTTCACTTTCAGTTTAAATTTTTCCAAACCTTTTTGTTAACAGTTTTGACATTTATAATTCAACTTCTAACTTCCCTATAACAGAATCCTAACAACCTAACTAACTTCCTCATTACTCTAACTGCTTCTAACAAACTTTCTCTCCATTCTCAATTGAATCCACAACTTCAACAAACTATAAATAACAGAAACTAACCTTGCATTGCTTCATTCTTCAAATTCTGATAAGAATCACCAAAAAGAAACTCCAAACTCTCTCTGAAAATTCTTGAAGTCTCTCTGCATCTTCAAGCTCTCTTTCCTCACAATTCACAATCATTTTCACAAACCACAGGAAGAATATGCACTCTACTCTCTCTCTCCCTCTCTGCGCTAACGGTTTCTTCATCAATCTTCATCTGCATTAGACTTTCAGCATCTCTCTTCAATCATTATCAACAGATTTTCTATGCTTCAATCATCATCATCTTCATCGTGACTTCGCATCACAATATCAACACTGCAACTACTACGTCTTCTTCATCGCATCAACTTGCTTCATTTTCTCTATGTTAACATAAATCAACGCCGTAACTGCATCTTCATCAACACCTTCAGTCATCATCCTCAACCTGCGTCAACAACAACATCATTGAATCTGCAACGTTTAACATCGCACAACAACGACAATTCAGAGACGCAGAAGTAGAAGAAACTTCGAGATCACGAACGGAGTGAGAAGAAGTAAAGATTGAGTACAAGAAAGGAAAACTTACAAAATATGCATCTGAACTCGTCGGAGAACGTAAGCTTTTTACGTTCGTCACCTTTTTTCATTGTCTCTTGCTATGCGAGTTTGTTTTTCTGAAACGAAGAGGACGTGTACGAATTCAAGCTGTGGTTTGAAGAAAGAAGTTGAATCGGACGGAGATGTTGTTGGTGAAACAAATCGGAGCAACGGGTCTGAACATAGATTGAAAATGAGGCGGAGATGGCGAAGAGAGGAAGCAGACGGCAGGGAAGCGGCGCTGCTTTGATTCTGATCGGAGAAGAAGTGATAGCGACCGCTGAGAAGGAGATCTCGAAGAAGTCGAATGGTCACTCAACTTAACCCTAGCCCTTTTTGTCAAACGCACAATTTATATGCTTTCTCTCAATTTTTTTATTATTTATTTTTTAGCATAATAATTTGAGTAATACTGAAGAGTAATTGAGACAAAAACTCTTGATTGTGCTATGGTTGGACCGAAAATATTGTTTCTTTAAGCTAAAGCACGTAATTTTTGGAGGTGGAGAGTGTAGTGGTGAAAATCAGAGATTAAACTATTAATTAATTTACTCACAAATAAGAAAGAGTCGCCACCGCGTTTTATTGTTTTTCAAGGGAAGCGAAAAGAGCAAAATAAAACCCATAAGTAAATATGCAATGCAAGAAGTAAAAGCAAGTGCAATAGAGAGATCTAAAGTTAGGGGGTTGATTATACAAAGAGAAAGTGTTAGCACTCAATGTATCTGTAGTAATCTACAGGAACCTCTTATTATATTTGTGTATTAAAATTAGTTGTTTGTTAAAATATTAGTTTAAAGAGATTTTGAAAATGCAACGACTTAATGTCGAGGTTTTGGCTTAAAAGAGTGTAAGTTTTAAAAATGAGATTTTTGGAGATCTAACTTAAGGTTAGCAAAACTTAAAGATGGGTGGAGGAATTCACACAATAATATAAGATACACTCGATGACATGAAGTCAATGAAGCTCAAATGAGCAAAGAGAAGATAAATGTTCAAGTGAGCAAAGAAAAAAATACATAAAGTAAAAAAAAATGTTATGGATGATAAATGGCATAAAAGTAAATAGAGGAAAATATAAAGTACGAAAATATAAATGACATTAAAGTAAAGTTAGTACAATATAAAGTTAATAATCTGATTTGGGATAAATGTAACTTCATATGGAGCATACAATGTATGTATCCATACATGTGTTTACAGTGATTTCTGGTAAACAACCGTTAGTCCTCCAAACTATCGAATAATCTTACTGACTGTTATTCAATTTCTCTGGTAACTCGCAGGATCGACTAGATTGATCCTAGGACGTGTTGGTCATTAGGGTAACTCTCATGATCGAACCGGTATTCATGGTTGGTATTTAGAATGTTGTGTAGGTGCTTAACTTACTTCGAAAAATCTAAAGGTGTGATCAAGTAAATGTGCGCGAAACTAAATTGCATGAATATAGTTAAATTGTAAAGACATGTAAAAACTGCATAAAAGACAAGTAAATGACTTCCAAGCATAAAAGCAGTTAATGTAAAAGATTCTCTGAAATGTTAAAGATTCGAAATATGAAGAAAGCGTTTAAATGCAAGAAAACTGTAGAATGGCTTTAAGTAAAAAAAAGGTGTTCGAATGATAAAAACTTGAAGATAAAGGCATGAAATGTATAACAGTTTCTGAAATGTAAAGTATTTGAAATGGAAAGAAAGCATTTAAATGCAAGGCATCAGTAAAAAGACTTCGAATGAGAACATTTTAAATGCAAAAACTTGTAAATGGTATTGACATAAAGATAAAGGAAAGTACTGGAAATGATAAAGAGTTTTCATTAAATCATAAACATGTGGTGTTATCATACGTACATTGCTCGTGCATTCGTTTCCCTAGCCATGTGATAATTTGAATGTTTACTGAGTTTTTTGTACAATAGATATGACACACGAAATCCTAATGCTAAGACTTCTATTTATACTACTTCGACCATAACGGTCTTGCTATAAGATTCTACCACGTTCAGAACATGCAGAGCAATGCCTCTCTCTTGCTTCCACGCGTCTTCGAATGCTCCAGCGCATATATTTCAAATTTCGAACATCTCGCTTGCATTTGAATTTCAAATGTTTTGGCACTTCTTCGCTTCGAACGCATTTCTTAGACACAGCCTTGTTATCATTTCGAGGCTTCTTTGAATATACTCTCATAACTGTCACTCGAAGCTCCAAGCTTTGATATGCTCATTCGAAGCACTGCTTCTACCATTTCGAAACATGATGTTTTGCTTCATTTCAATCGAAACGTCCAACTTATTTTGCTTCTAATAATATCATCAAAATCTTCAGCCAACAAAATGCCCCTTTAAAATATGTATTTCGATTCCTTTGAGAAATACTTATTTTAAACATATACACAAGATTTTGATGCGACCTTCGAATCATCGTAACATTTATTACATATGACTCCAGTCACGTCAATCACAACGCTTTTCAGATTTCTTAACCGCCTTGAACCATTTCACAGCATGGTGCAGTTACAAAATAATGATTATCTTTAATCACACCTATTACCAATGTTAACTTTACGCCACCTCTTCATCAAACCAACCCACGACTACCACGTATCACAATCTTACTCAGTGGATGCTTAAACTTCCACATTATTAAAACCCATCAACTTAGTCTTTTCTTTTCTTCCCACATTCTGAATCTTTTCTTCCTCTTTTCTCACCGAAACCCTAAACTTCCAACATTCTTCCAACAATGTCTTCTTCAACTTCATCTCAACTAAAAAAGGTTTCCAAAAAGAAAGGAAAGACCACAGGAGCCACAATGGAAAGCAAGGTTGGCACCTACCAAGGTCAATCTGTTCTTGTTCCCCAGATGATCTCAAAAGAGAAAGAAATGCTTTATGCATCCCATGTACTAATTCCTACTAATGCCGCTGGCAAGAGGTTAGCTTTAATGGGCCCTCTTACAGTTTTTGAAATTTTAAAAGACACCAGAAAATTTTTCCCAGTTTGCTATAATTTCAAACCTCTGTTTAACAAAATGGATAGCCCCAAGACTATAGAGTCTTCTGATTCAACCACCGTAGAAAATTCAATCGTTCCTCCTAAGGACCCTTTCGTACTAGATTATGTAAAGAGTAACTTCAAACCGTTTCGATCTTGCCCCACCTCCGACACTGCTTATCATAACTGGTTTAATAAGGTAGAAGCTAAGAAATCCCAGCAATGGGAAGAATTAGGTATCTACAACTTGATTAAACTGTCGAAGCCAGGTTTTACTTATAGCCACCCATTGTTATTCGCGTCCCTATATTTCTGGGACAGTACTTACAATACTTTCCATCTTCCTGGTGGAATGATTACCCCTACCTTTTTTGACATAGCGGCCATTACTGGGCTATCACCAATAGGAGAAACATATATCCCTGACAACGAAGAGCATTCGAGTATTATCGACTTCGAAGTCAAGCTAGCAAGCTTTTCAAAGTTTATCAGCCACTATCACACTGAAGGAGACAGTGTGTCGGATGTAGAACACATTGCTTTCCTTACCTTATGGTTGTCAAGGTATGTCTTTTGCAGCAGATCCCTACAGGTAACCAGTAGGTTTATTCCTCTAGCTAGAGATTTGCATGAGAATCGGAGGGTGTGCTTAAGCGAACTGCTATTAGTTGATCTTTATGAAAGTCTAAGGTCAGCTGTTTCGAGTCTAAAATCTCACACCTCCAAGAATATCCTGCTAGCTGTCCCTTTCTGGCTACTTCATTTATGGCTAAATGCCATGTTCGAACCTTCATTATCAACGGCCAACACTATTGCTGAACAAGACCCTGAAATAGCGGATAGAATCATCGAAGGCACTAGGCTGCGAAGACTAACCCCAAACGATGATAAGGATGACTTCAAAGTCCTATTCTCAAAATATATCATGATATTCTCCAAGAGGCATAAGTTCGAAGAGACCATGGCGCATTTTGCTTCAAGGGCTCATGGACCTTCATGGTTCACCATGGCTCTCTCAGAAGCTGTCAAAAGCAAAGAAATTCAAGATGTATGGAGAGCCTTTTTGCTACCCAGACTAATCTCTTCAAGAATAACTCCTGCTAAGAATCAGATTTTCCTTTTCGCTTATCAGCCCAACTTCATTTCGAGACAGTTTGGCTTGTGCCAACTAATTCCTGAACCCCTATTTCAAACGGAAAATGCCATCACCTCTGGGCGAACCTTCAAGGCTAGAGAAGCCAAACTACAGCAGGAACAATACCAAGGCTTCGCCCATTTTGAACTCATAACCTTCGAACCTACACACCTTACAGCAAAGGGGTTTCTAGAATGGTGGACAAAGTTCTATCAGACTTATATGTTCGATACTCTTACTATTCAGCAGAAACTAACTGATGCATTCGATGTGCAGGTACCATCCAAGAAAGGTATGTTTACTCATGCCAAAGAGATTAAGGCTTTTCAAACTTATTTCGAAACTACTTATGATCCCACACACTTGGAATCCACGGTGCATCAAGCGGCTGAGACCTTGAAGGAAAAATTCAAAGAAAAAGTTTCTAAGTTAAAACTTCCTTCAGGGTTGTCACCTGAGGATAGGTATAGGTTGGCATTCGAAATGCATCCACCTAAATTTACCTAGATTACCTACCTCAGAACTGGCTCTGGCTTGGTTTCCTCCATACCCTTGGTGGTTCACTTGCAAAGAAATGTTCAAACATCTTCAAAAGAAACCAAAGCCATCTGAGACTGTGACATGGGCTTGACACTGGCTCCACGATTTCCCAGGACATCTTCGCTATGACCTTTCTGCCATGTCGATTAAATCTGATCAAGGCACAGGTTCGAATGCTTGGGAAAATCCCAAACGCTTCTTATTTTCTATATCTTTAACTTTTGCCTTAATTGTTCGATTTTCAGCCATCAGGATAAAGACTGCTGCTTCAAAGTCAAAAGAAGGGAGCGCCTCTCAAGCCTCTATCGAAACCATTGACAATGTGACTCCATCCGAACCAACAACAATTGCTGCAACAACAACAACAACACCAGTAATAGCCAGTGCCCCAACTCCACAGGTAATCACTTAGCCTTGATGTTTCGAATTCACTAATGTTTCATGATTTGCATCTAACTCTTTGTTTTAAATCTTTTCAGACCAACAAACTTCCGCCTACCACTCCAAAGAAGCGAAAATCAAACACTACTGGGGAAGACCCCAAGGATGGAGGGAATTTACCAGCTGCTTCGAAGAA